TCCTCCTCTTCCTCTTCCTCCTCCTATTTTAAAAACTCAAAAGAAAGTGACCAACCAGGGAGGCAGTGAAACCCTGGAAGAAGAAGAAGAGATTGGATTTATACCCCGCCCTTCACTACCCAGAGGAGTCTCAGAGGGGCTTACAAACTCCTTTCCCTTCCCCTCCCCACAACAGACACCCTGTGAGGTAAAAGAAGGAGAAGAGTTTGGATTTCTACCCCACCCTTCACTACCCAAAGGAGTCTCAGAGCGGCTTACAAACTCCTTTCCCTTCCCCTCCCCACAACAGACACCCTGTGAGGTAGGTGGGGCTGAGAGAGCTCTTGACAGAAACGGCTCTTTTTCAAGGACAGCTCTTATCAGAACTACGGCTTGCCCAAGGTCATCCAGTCAGGTGCAAGTGGAAGAGTGGGGGAATCAAACCTGGTTCTCCCAGATTAGAGTCCGCGCACTTAACCACTACACCAAACTGGCTCTCTCTGGAAGACCAAGAGGGTGAAAGAATTGCTAAGGGAAGGCAGGGGGGTTGTAGAGACATTTAATGAATTCTTGGTATCAGTTTCATTGTTGGGAAGGTGGGACCAGTCATCCAAGCCAGAGCGCCTGTTTTCAGGAAGGGGGTTGTGGAACCATTGAGTCAAATAGAGGAGATAAGAGATGATGTTCTAGGGCTAAGAGCCAGATTAAAAACCTGTCTCTGAAAAGTGTCTCCCTTTTATAGCACTGGAAGGTGGCAAGTATAATGCCAGTTTATTCAAAAGGATCTAGGGGAGATTACAAGCTGGTTTGCCTAGTGTCTCTTCTAGGTAAACGGGTGATAGCTGTAGTTGAAGATACAAGTACTAAGCAGATAGGGGACCATGCCTTCATCGGCATAACTTCTGCAAGGCTGCGATCACCCACACTAAATAATCCACTTTCAGCATACTTTCCAGCTGGATTTTAATGTGCGAACTGCCAAAATCCAGTTGGAAAGTGGACCGAAAGTGGATTATTTAGTGTGTGTGACCACAGCGTAAAGTGAAGTCAACCCTTCGGAGGTTTAATAAATATGTGGACAAGGGAGATCTGGTAAATGTCATCTGTTTGAATTTCTAGAAACCTTCTGTCTGTCCGTCTTTAAAACAAACTTCCTGAAAAATCACTTAGCAGTTGTAGGGATGACAGGTTTTATTGCAGAGTAATTAAAGAAAGGATTCAGTGACAGGAAGAGGGGGGCCATTCTTGCAGTGGAGGGAAGCAAGCCGTGGGTCTTTGCAGGGATTGGGATTGGGACCAGTGTTGTTTAATTTGTTCACAAACAATCTCGAATTGGGGGAGAACAGTGCAGGGTCCAGGTCTGCAAACACCACTCGGTTATTCAGGGTGGTAAAAAACCCCCAAAGCTGGTTGTGAAGGGCCCTAAAAAGACCAAACTGAATAAGTGGATGCCTGCAATGTAAACGAGGCCCACTGAAGTAAGTGCGGATTGAGAGGGCTTGTGGCTCAGCGACAGAGCCTCTGCTTGGCATTCCGAAGCTCCCTGGTTCAATCCGTGGCATGTCCAGTAAGGACCAGGTTGCAGGTGATGTGGAAGACCTCAGCCAGAGACTGGAGAGCAGCTGCCAGTCTGAGTAGCCAGTACTGACCTTGATTGACTGAGGGTCTGGTTCAGTAGAAGGCAGCAACTGAGGTTCGGTCTAAGGCAGCAACTGAGGTTCGGTCTAAGGCAGCAACTGAGGTTCGGTCTAAGGCAGCAACTGAGGTTCGGTCTAAGGCAGCAACTGAGGTTCGGTCTAAGGCAGCAACTGAGGTTCGGTCTAAGGCAGCAACTGAGGTTCGGTCTAAGGCAGCAACTGAGGTTCGGTCTAAGGCAGCAACTGAGGTTCGGTCTAAGGCAGCAACTGAGGTTCGGTCTAAGGCAGCAACTGAGGTTCGGTCTAAGGCAGCAACTGAGGTTCGGTCTAAGGCAGCAACTGAGGTTCGGTCTAAGGCAGCAACTGATACACTTTGGGGCAAAGCATTTGACATTCTACCCATCCTGCCTCTCTAACTGAGCTATCTCTTGGGACAATAGGGAAGCGTGTTTGAGCAGACCCTACAAGGAGCTGCGGTGGCTCACGTGGTTAAGACGCTAAACTGCAGGCTGTGGAAGGTCGGTCGTTCAGCAGTTCGAGACCCGGGTGCCGCATGATGGAGTGAGCTCCCGTCTCTAGTTCCAGCTCCTGCCAACCTAGCAGTTCGAAAGCAAGAAATTGCAAGTAGATAAATAGGTACCACTTCGGTGGGAAGGTAACAGCGTTCTGTGCGCCTTGGTGTTTAGTCATGCCGGCCACATGACCACGGAAACGTCTTCGGACAGCGCTGGCTCTTCGGCTTTGAAACAGAGATGAGCACTGCAACCCTAGAGTCGGACTCGACTGGCTTTCGAGCAAGGGAACCTTACAAGGAGAAAATAGCCCTGCCTGCCTTGATGAACCAAGATTGAGCCCTGTGATATACCTTCCCTGCTTCAGCGTGGCTTTTACTGTCCTGTGTTAGCTCCTATGTAACCCCAAGTGTACAACTCTCATTCTTTGCCATCATCTGCTTGGGGGCCATTGCTAGAATGTCTAACCCTTCACTACCCGAAGAAGTCTCAGGATGCTTACAATCTCATTCCCCTTCCTCTCCCCACAACAGACACCCCGTGAGGTAGGTGGGGCTGAGAGAGCTCTCCCAAGAACTGCTCTTGAGAGAACAGTTCTGAGAGAACTTGTGACTGACCCAAGGTCACCCAGCTGGCTTCATGTGGAGGAGCGGGGAATCAAACCCGGTTCTCCCAGATTGGAGTCCTCTACACCAAACTGGCTCTCCATCCTAATCATGCAGCGGCACCAACCACAGGGCGATAGCCACCATGCTGCTGCAGGTACCATAAGAAGTGGTCTTGAAGCAGGGCAACATATCCCTCTTAAAGAAGCTATCTGTGATCCTCATCAGTCAGTCAGCTATTCTAGACATAAAAGATCTTAGCATCCCTAGCTGAGTCTTCCATTAAGTTAGTAAAAGTAAAGGTTCTCTTGCTCGGAAGCCAGTCAAATCCGACTCTAGGGTGCGGTGCTCATCTCTGTTTCCAAGCCGAAGAGCCAGCGCTGTCCGAAGATGTTTCCGTGGTCATGTGGCCGGCATGACTAAACACCAAGGTGCACGGAACGCTGTTCCCTTCCCACCAAAGTGGTACCGATTTATCTACTTGCAATTTCTTGCTTTCGAACTGCTAGGTTGGCAGGCGCTGGAACTAGAGACGGGAGCTCACTCTGTCATGCGGCACACTCGGGTCTCGAACTGCTGAACTACCGATCTTCTGGTCTGCAGCTCAGCGTCTTAACCACTGAGCCACTACAGCACTCTCCATTGTTAACTACCAGGGTTTTTTTTAAAAAAAGTATTCATTAACTGCCTGACCAGGGGTCCCCAATGGGGCACCCGCCGGCCCCTTTCCCTGGTGCCTGCCAAGTGTTTTTAGAAAGTGGGCAGGGCCAGGTGGGGCTTTTGCCCAGGAAAGCTTCTGATTGGCCACTGGAGATATGATGCGCTGTGCAATTAAAAAAAAAACACATTGCTTTGCCAACAGCTGCCACCACAGCACGAGCATCTTTGCTGTGTGACTGAAGGTAAGTGGTGGCAGCCATTTTGTGGCCGCCTCCGCCTCCAGCAGCCATTTCCCATCAGCCGTTGTTTGGCTGCACCCACCACGCTGCATCAGAATGACAGAGGTGCCTGCCGGCTCAAAGAAGGGGACCCCTGTGCTAGACTAAGGAATCCGGGGGTCCCCAATGGGGCGCCCGCCGGCCCCTTTCTCTGGTGCCTGCCAAGTGTTTTTAGAAAGTGGGCAGGGCCAGGTGGGGCTTTTGCCCAGCAAGGCTTCTGATTGGCCACTGGAGATATGATGCGCTGTGCAATTATTAAAAAAAACCACATTGCTTTGGCAACAGCTGCCACCACGGCACGAGCATCTTTGCTGTGTGACCGAAGGTACGTGGTGGCAGCCATTTTGTGGCCGGCTCCGCCTCCGTCAGCCATTTTCCGTCAGCCGTTGTTTAGCTGCACCCACCACGCTGTATCAGAATGACAGAGGTGCCTGCAGGCTCAAAGAAGGGGACCCCTGTGCTAGACTAAGGTATCCGTAACGCAGCTTGCTACCGCGCTCCCGCAGGAAATGACCCCTGGTATCCGTAACGCAGCTTGCTACTTGTAATGCCATTTGTTCGCTACCAGCAACTTTCTGAGTCCAAATGAAACCGTTTGGCCTTACCTTCTCTTTCTGCTCTCTTTGAACGCAGCACGGGATAATGCATTTCTGCGGCTTGAGCATCCTCGCCCCTCATATCTGCTTTGCGCCAGAGTACGCACCTGAAGAGGAGCGAGCGCAAATGCTGACGTCTTGGGTGGAACGGCTGAAGACCATCTGGGAGGAGGAGCCTATAGATTGCACTCCTGAGTGGTACTATAAGTAACATAGCTGGGAATGTCGGTGATTCAAATACCCTTCAGGTTTTTCCCCCCCTCTGGTTGGGTTCTTAAAAACCTTTCCTGTTGCTCTCCCTCAGTCAGCATGAAAAGCAAAAAGGGGTCAGATCAGGTGACTGGGCTTGGATGAAGGTTCCCACACAAATCGGCCATCAGGTCTTCTCCTTGCTCCGTCTTTTCTTTTCTTAAAAAAAATGAAAGAAATTGAAAACTGTTACCCGGGACTCAGAGACAAGTAATCTAGTGGAAGAAAATCCATTATTCTCTGACAGTAGAGGGGAAGCAGTGCAGAATGAGGGTTAGCCTTACAGCATAGAGGGATGTTTGTGTATGACTATATATTCCCTGTAACATGCCATGAGTTGATCTGCCACTGACTCATGGCAGAAGGGGACCACAGTGAGGCCAGAGTGAGAGGTAACTCTTCCCGTTATCAAGGTGTGATACTGATTTTTCCCCCAGCAGGTGGGGTGTATATGATTTCTATGTAGTCTAGCAAAGAGATCTTCCAGCATTCTTACACTTCTCATGCATAACACTAGGCTTTTCTGCATTCTCATTTTCCTCCCTTGTAAGTTCCTATTTCTTCTCTTTTTTTTTGGAGGGGGGTTTCCTGTTCTGCCTGCATCTTGCTCCCTCTAGTGGTCAATTCGATATTACATGGTTTGTGTCCAGCATGTCTCCCTGCAGAGTTAAACTGCGGGGGGTATTTTTGCTGGACATAACCCAAGGTAATATTGAATTGACCACTAGGGGGAGCATACCCATGTGGAACAGGAAACCCCCCCCTGAAGAAACAGGAAAATGAGGATGCAGAAAGGCCCACTTTGTAATATTTAGGAGCATTTAAAGGAATATCTGGTGCAACACTTTCATATTGGTTAATTGTCGGGGCGCCCTCCAAAGAATCCTGAGAATTGAAGCTGACGAGGGTGCTAAGAATCCTTACACACACACACGCCCCTCCCCCACCGATCACTTCTTAAGGTTCCCTAGGAAGAAGAAATTACTACTAAGCTGTTGTGTCGATACACCCTTAGAACCCAATCCTATATAAGAAGTAAATCCGATCAAGCTCAATAGGAGTTACCTCCCAGGAAATTTGTACAGGATTGTGGCCTGATCTGGAAGGAACCCAACAATCAAACTAGAAATGAGATATGCCAAAGCTAAAGGCTAAGCAGCTGGCCCCCCCCCCAGCTACAATGTAAAAACATAAAACAGTTGGGGGTTGTTTTAATATCAGTGCTTGAAATATGCTGGTGTTACAAGGGGTCCCTGCTTCTGAAAACGAAACTGAACAAAGTGTTCCCTCCTTGAAAGGAGCCTGTGTATTTCAGTTGCTCTAATCCCTGTGACAGCTTTAATACCCTGTTCCGCGTTTTAGCAAATTTGGTATAAAATGCACATTTCATTAATATAATCTCAGTCGAGTAAAGGGGGTTGGTGGCTGTAATGGCACATGCTTTATTGCCACTGCTTTGTACTTGCTGAGACTTGCCGCAAATTATGTTTTTGAGGACTGAGAAAAATGTGATTTCCCCATAAAGGGTCTACTAGTAATGAAGGGTCAACCTTTGACTCCTCGACGACTTTGTAAGAACTACAATAAAATAATGATCAGGGGAAATGAACATGACTGCTTTATTTGAGTTCCACGCTGTTGGATCACAGTCTGCTAACAAGCTTTTCATTGCATTATCCAGCAAAAAAAAACAACCCAAAAAACCGGTTGGTCTTTTGAATCCATTTCTGATGTCAGTGATAGAGGGAACTGTCCTTTTTCCAAATGAAAATCACAGAACTTCCTATGCAGGAGAGAAGACGTGAATTGCTGCTCTGTAGGGAGCTCTTGAGCAGCCTGAACTTTTAAGCAGACTGAACAGAAGCCAAGAAAAGAGGACTTCTCCAGTATGAATGTATAGTTAAGTGCAGGGGTCATTTCCTGCGGGAGCGCACAGGAGCGGACGGCAGTAAGGAGCCCAGGGGGCGGGCACATGCAACAAGCCCCACCCCCTGCTTCCAGCAGCCCTCAGTGTTTTGTTGTAAAAGAATAAAACCGACACACACATGCAAAATGCACATAAAGACACAAACTAGCCAAGAGAAAAATGAGGGGGGAGCAGGGGAGCAGATTTTGGAGAGGTGATATTTACCAATCCAGAAGAGGAGGTCCACGGAGGCCAGTGAAATGGCCTAGGTTTCACGAAGAGAGGGGGAAGACCCACACGCAAGTGGGGGTGAATGTAGGGCACCAAGAATGCACACACACTCCATGGAGCAGAGTGCTGAAAGTTACAGGGAAAATTTCTCCCTGGGGCTATCTGATGTGTTTGCCCCCCTCCCCCCAAATACCTTGATTGGTAAGTTTGGTGTTGTGGTTAGGAGGGCGGACTCTAATCTGGGAGGACCGGGTTTGATTCCCCACTCTTCCACATACAGCTGCTGGTGTGACCTTGGGTCAGTTACAAGTTCTTTCAGAGCTGTTCTCTCACCAGCAGTCCTCAAAAGAGCTCTCTCAGCCCCACCTACCTCATAGGGTGTCTGTTGTGGGGAGAGGAAGAGAAAGGAGATTGTAAGCCAGTCTGAGACTCCAAGTGAAGGGCGGGGTATGAATCCAATATCCTTTCTCGTCCTCCTTCTTCTCTTTGGAGATGAACAACGACCTTGGGAAACCTGTGATAGGTGTTAACTATGGGTGTTAATGGTTTATTGATGACCCTTGAGTACAGGATGGGAGAAACTACTGGGTTGTATGAATAGCACTAGTTCCAAAGGTGTGCACAGGGCTCAAAAAGGTTGAGGACCCCCCTGGGATAGAGTGTCAGGCCAGGAGCTGGGAGACTCTAGGTTGGAATCCCCACACGTGCCATGGAAGCTGGCTGGGTGACCTTGGGCCAGTCACATACTCTTAGCCAGGGGTCATTTCGTAGCAAAAGAGCTAGGGGAACTCATTAGAATAACTCATTAGCATATGCCACACCCCCTGACATCAGGGGCCCGGCGGTGGATTTGCAAGGCCAGCGGGAGTGTGAGGAAGCCCCGCCAAGGCCCTCCCTAGCCCCAGGCAGGCAGGGGTGGGGAGAGGCGGGGAGGAAGCAACTTACCCTCCCTCTTCTCCTTCCTCCTCCTGGCTGAATGAGGGCTGGAAGCGGGGCGGCTGGAAGCAGGGGGCGGGGCTTCGTCATGTGCCCCCCCCTGCACCTCACCCGGGGGAACTGTGTTCCCCCGCGTTCCCCCCTGAAATGACCTCTGCTCTCAGCCTAACCTACCCCAAAAGGGTGGTTCTGTAGATTAAAGAGAGGATAACAATGTCAGCCATTTTGGACCCTCACTGGGGAGAAAGGCAGGGTATAAGTGAAGTTAAAAAAAAGAAAGAAATGTGACCAGAAGGCCGTTTTGATCTGGTCAGAGAATAATGCTGAGATGCAAAAACAATGGGTGCAAGGAAAGGATGACTCCAGGGGGTGATCAGGCACGACGTACACTGCTCCAAAAATAATTCCCACTACCCCCTTTGCTGCCCCACATGTCTGGCCAGAAAAGTAATACTAGTTTCAGGAATCACAGTACATTAATTTTCCAGTTGCAGCAGATGTGTTAATTTATTTATTTTTTAACGTTGAAGATTGCAATTAGTTTTCATAGTTAAACATTGTTTCTTTCCCCCCTTTCCATCCCCAATGAGACAGCAATGCAACTTTCCAACCAGCAGGCCTGAAGTTAGACTGCCCCCCCAAGAAACACTTGCTCTTCTAATCACGGCCCTTTCCCCTCCCATTCCTCCAAATGAATTATTCTGAAATCAGTCCTGAAGTAAGCCAAGTACTTAATGTGAGGCCCTGTTACTCAGCCTTAGTTACCAATCTGTAAAATGGGTATAAGAATGTCTTACTTCACAGTACAAAGTTGAGAAGGAAGCCAGTGCCACAATTAGGGCTGTAAAAGCTCTTGGCAGAATTTCTGTATTGATCACAAACAGAATGCAGTCTTGGTTTTCTATACTGTCCAATACCTGTGCAGGTCTGGTTCTCTGCCCAGTTGTTTCCTGAAATGCTTTCCTAGCAAAGGCAGTAGAAGTTAGGGAGCCTGCAATCTTTTTCCGTTTACTCAATACGCCCCCACAGCATTGCTTTTATCCATTTCTCCACGCTCCTTTCAAACCAACTGAATTTGGGGTGGGGTTTTTGTTTGTTTGTCAAGAATGGTTTCTATGTTGTCATTATGGAATTACGTGTGTGTTTGTGCGCGCGCACATATGCGTGTATGTATATTTACAAACAGGAAGCATACTTTGAAGTCTGAGCAACAGGTTAACAAAATGTGTTTTTGTTCACCACAAGATGTCGCCCTCATTCCTCATACTTCACAAAGAAGCAAACCCATTTTGCTATAGGTCCAGGTGGGTAGCTGAGTTAGACCATTTCTGCAGTTGTGAAATTCCCCTCATGGAAGTTTTAAAATCTGCGTGTTATGTGAAATTTTCCACAGATTTTTCCTCACCAGGTGCAAACCCGAAGTTTTCTCCTTTTCCCGCCTTTTCGGAACTTGCTAAAACTGGGGATTTGATGGATCTTGGCTTAATTTTATATAAAGACCCCAAAACTTTATAGGGTCTTAGATTGAGGCCTTAAAAATCTATCCAGCTTTTGCTAACAAGAATCGGATAAGTAACTGATTAAGCCATTAGCTGCCATGCCTAGCTAACTCTCAACTATGCATACTAATCAGAACACACCCGTGTAACACCTACTCGAATGCAAAACGAAGAAAAACAGTAGCACAAGATAAAGTTATGCACTTTAAATTTACTTCAAAGCAATGTTATTTAGGGAATCTCTATTAAGGTATTACAGGTGTGCTTGGGCGATTCGCTAAATCGGGTAGCTTGCATTGATTTCTGATAACATGAAAGTACAGGACTTGGCTCAGGTGAAATGTCAAGTTCCCTAGAATAAACTTTGGGACACGTAGCTATAGGAAACAGCCAAATATGGAATATGCCTCTGCTTGTCAAAATTGTATATTAAGTGTGTATGTAACCCTGTAAACGTCGGGAAAACAACTTGTATGGTTTTTCCCGCCTTGTTGCGCTAAAGCTTTGTTTGTATCCTTCCGGATTTCTGGCTCCCTTATGTCTCCTAAT